TGTCACTGTGTGTGTGTGTGTCACTGTGTGTGTGTGTCACTATGTGTGTGTGTGTCACTGTGTGTGTGTGTCACTGTGTGTGTGTCACTGTGTGTGTGTGTCACTGTGTGTGTGTCACTGTGTGTGTGTGTGTCACTGTGTGTGTGTCACTGTGTGTGTGTCACTGTGTGTGTGTGTGTCACTATGTGTGTGTGTGTGTCACTGTGTGTGTGTGTTACTGTGTGTGTGTCACTGTCTGTGTGTGTCACTGTGTGTGTGTCACTGTGTGTGTGTGTCACTGTGTGTGTGTGTGTCACTGTGTGTGTGTGTGTCACTGTGTGTGTGTCACTGTGTTTGTGTCACTGTGTGTGTGTGTCACTGTGTGTGTGTCACTGTGTGTTTGTCACTGTGTGTGTGTGTGTCACTGTGTGTGTGTGTCACTGTGTGTGTGTGTCACTGTGTGTGTGTGTGTCACTGTGTGTCTGTGTCACTGTGTGTCTGTGTCACTGTGTGTGTGTGTCACTGTGTGTGTGTGTCACTGTGTGTGTTTCACTGTGTGTGTGTCACTGTGTGTATGTGTCACTGTGTGTATGTGTCACTGTGTGTGTGTGTGTGTCACTGTGTGTGTGTCACTGTGTGTGTGTGTCACTGTGTGTGTCACTGTGTGTGTGTGTCACTGTGTGTGTGTCACTGTGTGTGTGTGTCACTGTGTGTGTGTCACTGTGTGTGTGTGTGTCACTGTGTGTGTGTCACTGTGTGTGTGTCACTGTGTGTGTGTCACTGTGTGTGTGTGTGTCACTGTGTGTGTGTCACTGTGTGTGTGTGTGTGTCACTGTGTGTGTGTGTCACTGTGTGTGTGTCACTGTGTGTGTGTGTCACTGTGTGTGTGTCACTGTGTGTGTCACTGTGTGTGTGTGTGTCACTGTGTGTGTGTGTCACTGTGTGTGTGTGTCACTGTGTGTGTCACTGTGTGTCACTGTGTGTGTCACTGTGTGTGTCACTGTGTGTGTGTGTCACTGTGTGTGTGTGTCACTGTGTGTGTGTGTCACTGTGTGTGTGTGTGTGTGTCACTGTGTGTGTGTCACTGTGTGTGTGTGTCACTGTGTGTGTGTGTGTCACTGTGTGTGTGTGTGTCACTGTGTGTGTGTCACTGTGTGTGTGTGTCACTGTGTGTGTGTGTCACTGTGTGTGTGTCACTGTGTGTGTGTGTGTGTCACTGTGTGTGTGTGTCACTGTGTGTGTGTGTGTCACTGTGTGTGTGTGTCACTGTGTGTGTGTGTCACTGTGTGTGTGTGTCACTGTGTGTGTGTGTCACTGTGTGTGTGTCACTGTGTGTGTGTGTGTCACTGTGTGTGTGTCACTGTGTGTGTGTCACTGTGTGTGTGTGTGTCACTGTGTGTGTGTGTGTGTCACTGTGTGTGTGTGTGTGTGTCACTGTGTGTGTGTGTGTCACTGTGTGTGTGTGTCACTGTGTGTGTGTGTGTCACTGTGTGTGTGTGTCACTGTGTGTGTCACTGTGTGTGTCACTGTGTGTGTGTCACTGTGTGTGTCACTGTGTGTGTGTGTCACTGTGTGTGTGTCACTGTGTGTGTGTCACTGTGTGTGTGTGTGTCACTGTGTGTGTGTGTCACTGTGTGTGTGTGTCACTGTGTGTGTGTGTGTGTCACTGTGTGTGTGTGTGTCACTGTGTGTGTGTGTGTGTCACTGTGTGTGTGTGTCACTGTGTGTGTGTGTGTCACTGTGTGTGTGTCACTGTGTTTGTGTGTCACTGTGTGTGTGTGTCACTGTGTGTGTGTGTGTCACTGTGTGTGTGTGTCACTGTGTGTGTGTGTCACTGCGTGTGTGTGTCACTGTGTGTGTGTGTGTCACTGTGTGTGTGTGTGTCACTATGTGTGTGTGTCACTATGTGTGTGTGTGTCACTGTGTGTGTGTCACTGTGTGTGTGTGTCACTGTGTGTGTGTCACTGTGTGTGTGTGTCACTGTGTGTGTGTCACTGTGTGTGTGTCACTGTGTGTGTGTGTGTCACTATGTGTGTGTGTGTCACTGTGTGTGTGTTACTGTGTGTGTGTGTGTCACTGTCTGTGTATGTCACTGTGTGTGTGTGTCACTGTGTGTGTGTCACTGTGTGTGTGTCACTGTGTGTGTGTGTCACTGTGTGTGTGTGTCACTGTGTGTGTGTCACTGTGTTTGTGTCACTGTGTGTGTGTGTCACTGTGTGTGTGTCACTGTGTGTTTGTCACTGTGTGTGTGTGTGTGTCACTGTGTGTGTGTGTCACTGTGTGTGTGTGTCACTGTGTGTGTGTGTCACTGTGTGTATGTGTCACTGTGTGTGTGTGTCACTGTGTGTGTGTGTCACTGTGTGTGTCACTGTGTGTGTGTCACTGTGTGTATGTGTCACTGTGTGTATGTGTCACTGTGTGTGTGTGTCACTGTGTGTGTGTGTCGAGCGATAGTGTAGTAGTGGTTAGCGCTACGCTGCGCTATGAACCTGGCGACCCGGGTTCGATTCCCGCTCACGGCCAACACCAGTGGCGATTATCTGAACCGGTCCCGGGCCTCCCCTAGGTCGACTCAGCCTCAAATGAGTACCTGGTGCGGTGTGTAAACATCGCCACTAGGGAGACAAAGGCGGTCGGGCGTGGTGCTGGCCACCCACCCCCTCGTGTACCGATCCGGCCTTCATAGGTGCTCGCTAACAGCACTTGCCCCTACAGTCTGTTAAGGCTATACGGGGGATCTTTGTCTTTATCTTTGTGTTTGTCACTGTGTGTGTGTGTGTCACTGTGTGTGTGTGTCACTGTGTGTGTGTGTGTCACTGTGTGTGTCACTGTGTGTGTGTGTCACTGTGTGTGTGTGTGTCACTGTGTGTGTGTCACTGTGTGTGTGTCACTGTGTGTGTGTCACTGTGTGTGTGTCACTGTGTGTGTGTGTCACTGTGTGTGTGTGTCACTGTGTGTGTGTGTCACTGTGTTAGACTGGAGCGTGCCACTAAGAGGTGGGGCCTTACCATCAGCCCCACCAAAACTAAGCACCTGCCTGGGTATTTTGTACCATCGAACACTCCACCCCACAACTCCCAATCGGTGATGGGGCAGTTGTGGAGAGAGTGGAGAGTTTCCCATACCTGGGTAGTGTGCTTATGACTGGCTCCAGTTTAACAGCAGAGGTCTCACTCCGTATCAGTCGAGCGGCAATATCTTTTCATCGGTTGCGTAACGCTGTGTGGAAGCTACCTGGTCTGTCGCTCCGCACTAAGCTTCAGGTCTTCTCGGCCACGGTCATTCCCTCCCTTCTCTACGCTTGCGAAACGTGGACCCCCCTAATGGAACATCTTCGCCGGTTAGAAACATTTAGGCTGGCCTGCCTACGATCCATCCTGGGTTTAACCAGACTGGATTGTGTGAGGAGCTCACAAATCCTTGAAAGATCTGGGCAAGGTCCCATCGGTGAGCTCCTCCGGCGGGCAAGGCTGCGATGGCTGGGTCATGTAGCCCGCATGCCCAGCCAATGCATGCCGAAACAGCTTTTGTTCGGCCGGATTGAGGGGGCTAAGCGGGCGCGGCACGGGCTAGAGAAGAGATGGAGTGATGTGGTACAGGAGGACGTGTAGCTGAGTGGACTTGCCGATGACTGGTACCAGCGGTGTCAAGATCGACCTCTGTGGAGGAGGCTCGTGAAGGATGCTACTGGGCAGTTGGAGGCAGTCGCCCTCCAACAACAACGGAGGGCGGAGGAGCGACGCTCACAACAGCGAGCGGAGCGCCGGGTGGTTAAAGCACAGCAAGTTGGCACAGTAGGGGGCACAGGTGGTGCATCAGCCAGTCATCTCAGTCAGTCGACCCGTGGCACCTGGGTCTGCCCCGTGACCTCCTGCCAGCGGGCGTTCGACACTTCACGTGGCCTCAGGGTGCACATAGCCTGGCACAAGCGTCGTGGTGACGTCACCGCCACTTAGTGGCGAATGGCGGTTGTTGTTGTTGATGTATCTGTGTGTGTATGTATCTGTGTGTGTGTATCTGTGCGTGTGTGTATCTGTGTGTGTATCTGTGTGTGTGTATCTGTGTGTATGTATCTGTGTGTGTGTATGTGTCTGTGTGTGTGTATCTGTGTATGTGTATCTGTGTGTGTGTATCTGTGTCTATGTATCTGTGTGTGTGTATCTGTGTGTGTATCTGTGTGTGTGTATCTGTGTGTGTGTGTATCTGTGTGTGTATCTGTGTGTGTATCTGTGTGTATGTATCTGTGTGTGTATGTGTCTGTGTGTGTGTATCTGTGTATGTGTATCTGAGTGTGTGTCTCTGTGTGTGTGTATCTGTTTGCGTGTGTGTATCTGTGTGTGTGTGTGTATCTGTGTGTGTGTGTATCTGTGTGTGTGTATCTGTGTGTATGTATCTGTGTGTGTGTATGTGTCTGTGTGTGTGTATGTGTGTATGTATGTATCTGTGTGTATATGTATCTGTGTATTTGTGTGTGTATCTGCGTGTATGTATCTGTGTATGTGTGTGTGTGTGTATCTGTGTGTATGTATCTGTGTGTATATGTATCTGTGTATGTGTGTATGTATCTGTGTGTATATGTATCTGTGTGTATGTATCTGTGTGTATATGTATCTGTGTGTATATGTATCTGTGTGTGTATGTGTGTATATGTATCTGTGTATATGTATCTGTGTGTGTATGTATCTGTGTATGTGTGTATGTATCTGTGTGTATATGTATCTGTGTGTATGCATCTGTGTGTTTATGTATCTGTGTGTATATGTATCTGTGTGTGTGTATGTGTGTATATGGATCTGTGTATATGTATCTGTGTGTATATGTATCTGTGTATGTGTGTATATGTATCTGTGTGTATGTATCTGTGTGTATGTATCTGTGTGTATATGTATCTGTGTGTATATGTATCTGTGTGTGTGTATGTGTGTATATGTATCTGTGTATATGTATCTGTGTGTGTGTGTGTATGTGTGTATATGTATTAACCTAATAGGTGCTCACTAACTCTCTCACTCTCCTCACAGCTGCGGGCTCTCTTGTTCGAGGCTCCGAGCCAGCTTCTCCTCGCTCAGGATGTCCTCGCCGAAGACAGCGAGCCAGAATGAGACACTCCCAGGCGGAGACACAGGGGGAGACACCGGGGAGACACGGGGGGAGACACGGGGGGAGACACCGGGGGGAGACACTGGGGGAGACACCGGGGGGAGACACGGGGGAGACACCGGGGGGAGACACTGGGGGGAGACACTGGGGGAGACACCGGGGGGAGACACCAGGGGGAGATACGGGGGGAGACACGGGGGAGACACGGGGGGAGACACGGGGGGAGACCGGGGGGAGACCGGGGGGAGACACGGGGGGAGACACCAGGGGGAGACACGGGGGGAGATACGGGGGAGACACGGGGGAGACACGGGGGGAGACACCGGGGAGACACGGGGGGAGACACTGGGGGAGACACGGGGGAGACACGGGGGGAGACACGGGGGAGACACGGGGGGAGACACCAGGGGGAGACACGGGAGGAGATACGGGGGGAGACACGGGGGAGACACGGGGGGAGACACCGGGGAGACACGGGGGGAGACACTGGGGGAGACACGGGGGGAGACACGGGGGAGACCGGGGGGAGACACGGGGGAGACACGGGGGGAGACACGGGTACACCGGGGAGACACGGGGGGAGACACCGGGGGGAGACACGAGGGGAGACACGGGGGGAGACACCAGGGGGAGACACGGGGGGAGACCGGGGGGAGACACGGGGGGAGACACCGGGGGGAGACACGGGGGAGACACGGGTACACCGGGGAGACACGGGGGGAGACACCGGGGGGAGATACGAGGGGAGACACGGGGGGAGACCGGGCGGAGACATGGGGGGAGACACGGGGGGAGACACCGGGGAGACACTGGGGGAGGCGCCGGGGAGAGAGACACGGGGAGACACAGGGGGAGACTTTTGGGGAGACACGGGGGAGACCGGGGGGAGAGACACGGGGAGAGGGACACGGGGAGAGAGACACGGGGGAGACACGGGGAGAGGGACACGGGGAGAGAGACACGGGGAGAGAGACACGGGGGAGACACGGGGGGAGACACTGGGGGAGACACGGGGTGAGACACGGCTGTTTGTTGGAGTTATTTTTTTGCGATGGAGTGGAGAATAAATTAACACTGAACCCTGTGGGAGCCTCAGTCTGGCTCTGTGAGCCTCAGTGATTAACACTGAACCCTGTGGGAGCCTCAGTCTGGCTCTGTGAGCCTCAGTGATTAACACTGAACCCTGTGGGAGCCTTATTCTGACTATATGAGTCTCAGTGATTAACACTGAACCCTGTGGGAGCCTCAGTCTGACTATATGAGTCTCAGTGATTAACACTGAACCTTGTGGGAGCCTCAGTCTGGCTCTGTGAGTCTCAGTGATTAACACTGAACCCTGTGGGAGCCTCAGTCTGACTATATGAGTCTCAGTGATTAACACTGAACCCTGTGGGAGCCTCAGTCTGGCTCTGTGAGTCTCAGTGATTAACACTGAACCCTGTGGGAGCCTCAGTCTGGCTCTGTGAGTCTCAGTGATTAACACTGAACCCTGTGGGAGCCTCAGTCTGGCTCTGTGAGCCTCAGTGATTAACACTGAACCCTGTGGGAGCCTTAGTCTGGCTCTGTGAGTCTCAGTGATTGACACTGAACCCTGTGGGAGCCTCAGTCTGGCTCTGTGAGTCTCAGTGATTAACACTGAACCCTGTGGGAGTCTTAGTCTGGCTCTGTGAGCCTCAGTGATTAACACTGAACCCTGTGGGAGCCTCAGTCTGGCTCTGTGAGCCTCAGTGATTAACACTGAACCCTGTGGGAGCCTTAGTCTGGCTCTGTGAGTCTCAGTGATTGACACTGAACCCTGTGGGAGCCTTAGTCTGGCTCTGTGAGCCTCAGTGATTAACACTGAACCCTGTAGGAGTTTCAGTCTGGCTCTGTGAGTCTCAGTGATTAACACTGAACCCTGTGGGAGCCTCAGTCTGGCTCTGTGAGTCTCAGTGATTAACACTGAACCCTGTGGGAGCCTTAGTCTGACTATATGAGCCTCAGTGATTAACACTGAACCCTGTGGGAGCCTCAGTCTGGCTCTGTGAGTCTCAGTGATTAACACTGAACCCTGTGGGAGCCTCAGTCTGACTATATGAGCCTCAGTGATTAACACTGAACCCTGTGGGAGCCTCAGTCTGGCTCTGTGAGTCTCAGTGATTAACACTGAACCCTGTGGGAGCCTCAGTCTGGCTCTGTGAGTCTCAGTGATTAACACTGAACCCTGTGGGAGCCTCAGTCTGGCTCTGAGTCTCAGTGACGTCAAAACGCATGTCGTGACGTCACTCAGTTTTCACCTCTACGTGACGTCAAACTCCATCGTCACGCAAAACTCGCGCCCGCAGCTCGTGACGTCATTAAAGTCGGGCTTCCTCAGCCAGTGACGTCACTCATTGCAAACGCCACTCGTGACGTCTACCACGCAAAGTTCACCGTAGTGCGTGACGTCATTCAAGTCAGGCTCGGCGACGTCAATAATTTCCATGCATCATTGCCCGTGACGTCACTCAAGGCAAACTCTGTCCGTGACGTCATTTCGATACTGTAACCTCCCCTCGTCCGCCCCCCGTGACGCGCCAAGCGATTGGAGGTCGTGACCCCCGTGACGTCACGGTGCCGTGGCTGTTCACTGCCTGAAGGTTACACGTGGTGAGGGTGAGTGGTGAGGGTGAGTGGTGAGGGTGAGTGGTGAGTGGTGAGGGTGAGTGGTGAGTGGTGAGGGTGAGTGGTGAGGGTGAGTGGTGAGAGTGAGTGGTGAGGGTGAGTGGTGAGGGTGAGTGGTGAGGGTGAGTGGTGAGGGTGAGTGGTGAGGGTGAGTGGTGAGGGTGAGTGGTGAGGGTGAGTGGTGAGGGTGAGTGGTGAGGGTGAGTGGTGAGGGTGAGTGGTGAGAGTGAGTGGTGAGGGTGAGTGGTGAGGGTGAGTGGTGAGGGTGAGTGGTGAGAGTGAGTGGTGAGGTTGAGTCGAGTGGTGAGGTGGTGAGTCGAGTGGTGAGGTGGTAAGTGGTGAGGTGGTGAATGGTGAGGGTGAGTAGTGAGGGTGAGTGGTGAGGGTGAGTGGTGAGGGTGAGTGGTGAGGGTGAGTGGTGAGGGTGAGTGGTGAGGGTGAGTCGAGTGGTGAGGTGGTGAGTCGAGTGGTGAGGTGGTGAGTCGAGTGGTGAGGTGGTGAGTGGTGAGGTTGAGTCGAGTGGTGAGGTGGTGAGTCGAGTGGTGAGGTGGTAAGTGGTGAGGTGGTGAATGGTGAGGTGGTGAGTGGTGAGGGTGAGTGGTGAGGGTGAGTGGTGAGTGGTGAGGGTGAGTGGTGAGTGCGGTAGGGAGCTGTGCGTTAAACTGCGCGTGCTTGTGTTTAACACTCACCCACACTCATTCGCCCACTTAGTCACTCACCCACTTAGTCACCCACTTACTCACCCACTCACCCACTCACTCGCCCACTCACTCATCCACTCACTCACCCACTCACCCACTCACTCACTCACCCACTCACTCGCCCACTCACTCACCCACTCACTCACTCATTCACTCACTCACCCACTCACTCACCCACTCACTCACCCACTCACTCACCCACTCACTCGCCCACTCAGTCAGTCACCCACCCACTCACTCATCCACTCGCCCACTCAGTCACTCACCCACTCAGTCAGTCACTCACTCAGTCACTAACCCACTCACCCACCCACCAACTCACCCACCCACCAACTCACCCACCCACTAAAACAAAGACCCCCCGTATAGCCTCACCACACCGCAGGGTCAAGTGCTACTCTCCTGGCCCCATTGAAGGCCGCCGTTCCATTCCCGCTCAAGGCGTACGCGCCTCCCCCTAGGTCCACTCAGCCTCAAATGACTTAGCTGGGGGAGACAAAGGCGGCCGGGCGTGGTGGTGCTGGCCACCCACCCCCTCTGTGTGTGTAGCCACAGTGCCGGTAGCCTTCATAGACGCTCGCCAACAGCACTTGCCCCTACAGCCCTGCTAGAGGCTACCTGGGGTAGCTTTGTCTGTGTGTGTGGTGTGTGTAGTACATAGACACTGCTGCTGCTACTCGCTACTAACAGCACTTGCCCCGACAGCCCTGCTAGAGGCTACCTGGGGGAGCTTTGTCTGTGTGTGGTGTGTGTAGTACATAGACACTGCTGCTGCTACTCGCTACTAACAGCACTTGCCCCGACAGCCCTGCTAGAGGCTACCTGGGGGAGCTTTGTGTGTGGTGTGAGTGTAGTACATAGACACTGCTGCTGCTACTCGCTACTAACAGCACTTGCCCCGACAGCCCTGCTAGAGGCTACCTGGGGGAGCTTTGTGTGTGGTGTGTGTAGTACATAGACACTGCTGCTGCTACTTGCTAGCTAACAGCACTTGCCCCTACAGCCCTGCTAGAGGCTACCTGGGGGTAGCTTTGTCTGTGTGTGGTGTGTGTAGTACATAGACACTGCTGCTGCTACTCGCTAGCTAACAGCACTTGCCCCGACAGCCCTGCTAGAGGCTACCTGGGGGAGCTTTGTGTGTGGTGTGTGTAGTACATAGACACTGCTGCTGCTACTTGCTAGCTAACAGCACTTGCCCCTACAGCCCTGCTAGAGGCTACCTGGGGGTAGCTTTGTCTGTGTGTGGTGTGTGTAGTACATAGACACTGCTGCTGCTACTCGCTACTAACAGCACTTGCCCCTACAGCCCTGCTAGAGGCTACCTGGGGGAGCTTTGTGTGTGGTGTGTGTAGTACATAGACACTGCTGCTGCTACTCGCTACTAGCAGCACTTGCCCCTACAACCCTGCTAGAGGCTACCTGGGGTAGCTTTGTCTGTGTGTGGTGTGTGTAGTACATAGACACTGCTGCTACTACTATGTATCTCTATGGGTCTCCATGTGTCTCTGTGTATCTCTGTGGGTCTCTATGTATCTCTGGGTCTCCATGCATCTCTACGGGTCTCTATGTATGTCTATGGGTCTCTATGTATCTCTGTGTCTCTGTATCTCTATGGGTCTCTATATATCTCTATGGGTCTCTATGTATCTCCGTGGGTCTCTATGTGTCTATATGTGTCTCTATGTATCTCTGTGTATCTCTATGGGTCTCTATGT